AGGGACAAGCGCTTTCGCAACGCGAACGCTCTCCGGGCCTGAGCGGCGCCCCCCGCGTCCGGCTCGCCGCAGCGCAGGGCCAGGGCGCCTCGCCCACCCTCCTCCCGGCCCCGGGGGCCGCGGATACGCCGGGGGCTGGGAATTTGAGTGGCAGATCCGCCCATTGATTTTGCAGAATTGGGGCAGGAAAAGGTACTTGTCCAAGGTCACATAGCTAGAGCTTGGCAGTGACTCAGGACGGCAATATTCTCACCAGACTATAATCGCAAGGAGGGCAGCGACCTGCCTACCTGGTTTTCAGTAGCATCCATACCTCACTGGACATAGCCCTCAGAAAATGATTGATTGATGAAAGGGTGACTGGCTCCTGGGATAGAGCCTTTTTCATTACCCAAAGCCACCACCCTAGCAGCTTTTTGTCTGTGATGCTTACAAATACAGTTCTAAATAATGATTCTTTTTTATCTTGTCCTTGTAAACAGATTCATTTCTTTGTAGCAAACTAAATGACTTTCCTCTGCTCTAAGCCAAACCTAGTTTCTAAACCAAACTAAGCCACTTTCTGTGGTTTCCTTTGAGCAAGGTGTTCCGATACTAATCTTTAGTTAGGCTTGCTGAACGTAATGCTGGACACATAGGTGACACTGGATAATAAACTATTACTGAGTTTTCTAATGTTGCCTTATTTCCTCCTGACCCTCTCTATCTGGAGGAATTTGTTGCTATCTGCATAATGTGCCTTTTTTTTCTGTCTTAAATATTACATAGTAAGTTCTTAGAGGAAATAACGTGTGCATAATACAATCCCCCTTTCTCCTAGGAGAAGCCATGAGGTATGTGATCCTGAGTAAGTGCGTTTACATCTCCAACCTGTCCATTCTGTAACGTGGCAATAATGATAACAATACTTACCTCTTCAGGTGGTTTTGAAGAATAAGTAAGATAATACATGTCAAACATCTGGTACAGTGCCAGACTCCGTACTTGCTCTGTTGATCTCAGCTACCATTGTTATAGCGAAGTGCACTGAAAAGTTACAAGCCACAGGCTTTGAGGCAAATACATTGTTAAACTTACAACAGTATTTTGCCTCTTAGTATAATGATGTCCCTAAGGAGCATAGGAGAGGAAGCCCTTCCAAAAAACACTGTGATATAAGGAGGGAGATAAGAGAGATACACTCCTTGGTCGCTGGGAAATAATGAAGTCCTATTCCAGGATGGATGCAAATGTGAAATTCAGGAGTCTTTTTTTTTTTTTAAGATCTTATTTATTTATTTGAGAGACAGAGCATAAGCAGAGGGAGTTGCAGGCAGAGGGAGAAGAAGGCTCCCCGCTGAGCAAGGAGGCCGATGCAGGACTCGATCCCAGGACCCTGGGATCATGACTTGAGCCCAAGGCAGACACTTAACAGACTGAGCCACCCAGCTGTCCCAAAATTCAGGAGTCTTGATAACCCAATCTTTCAGGGAAAAGGATTCCTCTGAATTTTAGTATTACATGATGACTGAGTTGAAAAGACCCCTACAGAGCATCTATTCCACTCTCATTACTCTATAGGTAACAGCAAGACGCAGAGAGATACCGTGACTTGCCAAAGGCAGGGCAGCTGAGACTGAGCCAGGCTCTGCCATCCTTAGTGTGTGACTCTGGGCAAGTCATATCACCTGTTGCCTCAGTTTACTCTCTCCCAAATGAAGACTATCATCTCTTCCCAGCCTCCGACCTTATGGAATTTTTTGGAGGATCCCATTAAATAATATATGTGAAAAAACTTTTTCTTATAAAAGTAAGTTACACAAATATTAGACTACAAAGGACAAAGACCCTTTACAGAGAGGCAAATTCTTCAGGGCACTGCCCGCTCCAAACAACCCTCTGCAAAGAATCTTGATCCCAGGAGTGCTGCAATAGCATTACCAGCTGATGATGGTGTTAATTCTGAGGGACTTCTCCAGGAGCATGAGAAGAGACAAGGCCTTCATGGTGTTGTACATGTGTGCTGGCATGTACAGCTTTGGCATTCCTATTAATTGAAATGTTTGGAAGGCAGGGGACTAAGAAGAGTTTATTTGGCAGGGGAACATCACAGAGTTAATACTGGGAACTCCTTTGTCAATAAAACCTACTTAAAAACCCACAGTCGGGGCGCCTGGGTGGCCAGTTGGTTGAGCGTCTGTCTTTGGCTTGAGTCATGATCTCAGGGTCCTGGGATCAAGCCCCCAGCAGGCTCCCTGCTCCGTGGGAAGTCTGCTTCTCCCTCTCCCTCTGCCACTCCCCCGGCTTCGGTTCTCTCACTCTCTCTCTGTCAAATAAATAAATCTTAAAAAAAAAAAAAAATCCAGACTCAAGGGCTGCAGAAAAGAGACAACCAACCACCACTTTCAGTAGGCAACAACGAATGGTTTGTACAAACAGAGACCGACACTCATTAAAGTGAGGGAGAGGGTATCTGGGCCTCCTGGGCAATGTAAATTTCTTCTTACAGCCCCTCTCCATCTATCAATCAACTATACTTGTGGAGCTTTGGCCCCCTGCCCTCCCTTGATATGCCCTTCTCATAATATTAACAGGCATCCATCAGGGGTCACTGTGAAGTTCTCCTGGAGACAGTATAGTTCAGGGGTTAAGAGCAGGGACTCTGGAGTCTGCCCCCCTAGGTCTGAAACTCAGCTTTGCCAGTAACTAGTTGTGCATCATCAAGCAAATTGCTTAACTTCTCTGTAACTCATCTGCTAAATGGTAATAACACCTCATGGAATTGTAATGAAGATTAAATGTGTTACTAGTAGGAAAACACTTAGAATAGTGCATGGTACATGGTCAGTGATTTACAAATGTTGAATAAAGTAAATTGTGAAGAAAGTGACTTCCGTACACCTCTCTGAGCCTAAGTATAGAGCCACATGATGACACACTGCAGCGAAACATAAGCCAGGGAATGGAGTTGTTGGCAGTGGGACTGCTGGGATATTACAGACTGATTACTGTATATTAAGTATGTTGGATAGAGCCAAGAAGACAGATTGGAATCTAGAAGGCACTGATGGAATTTTCCTCCAGAACACTGCTAGGAAGGAGCTCTACCATCACAAGACAAACTTCTTGTCTCCTCAACTGTACAGGGGACATAGGGAGGTCTGAACAAAATACTCTTGCCAGGAGATAACAGGATCCATCTTTTATGTCTGTCAAAGGAGGAGCTTGCCACCTAGCCTCTCTCTGCATCCCAGGACAGCGGAACACCCAGAGCCAGTGGGTAGAAGATGACTGACATTGGGTGGGAGAAGAGGCTGGTTTCTGATTGGTGAGTTAGCCACAGTCCTGGGCAGGAGGCCAAGTCAGACTTGGGCTGGCATTGGTCCCACTCCTCAGATCCTTCTATCAAGTTAAACCCAAAGTAGCATTCATCATCCACCCATTCTTCACTTTTATCTCCCATTCTGCCCAGGAAGACTTCTTCCTTTTCCTGTCAAGCCTGTTCTGCTGGAGCAGAAAAGTCCAATGCCTTGATATAGAGTAAATACTTTATCTTGCCTTCTAATGCACTTGTTCTTGGTTCATTGTTCAAACATCCATGTCCTCTGTGTAGTCACATGGATGGGTCTCTAGAGGACACGGATTCTGTTTGCTTGATTAGGCTGGAAGGTACGTCACTCAGCACAATTACTTATTAAAAGGCATTTGAAAACTAACCATGTTGAAAGGCAATTTTTCCACATAGGACCCTCATCTGTTAACACAGCATAATTTACAGAGTTGTGGAATCACTAGGTTGTACACTTGAAACTGATGTAACATTGTGTGTCAACTGTACTAAAAAAAAAAAAAATCCTCCACTCTACAGCATACAAATGCTTTATTTTACAGGTTCTCTTTAGCTTTTGAAAAAAGAATGGATATTTTAAGTATTGAAGAACTGGATACTTTTTATAACACTCAACAAGATAGTAAAGGCTAATTTTTGTCTAAAAAAAAATCCTCACGTATTGATGAGGTTGCATCCAGTTTTCTTTTTAATTTTCTTAAGCTCCTTTCAAATACAGATTGTAAAACAAAAACCCTCAATTAAGAGATAATTTATATTGAGAAGCCTCTCAGACCCATCCTCCCCACACATGGTCTGAATTCCCTTAGGGAATGGGTAAGCGCATGGGCTCTGGAGCCTACATTTCATCTCCAACACTTTGCTAGCTGGGCAAACATTGGGCAAGTTACAGAACCTCTCTGAAAAACATAAACCTCATCTGCAAAATGGAGCTATCTCATAGGGCTTTTTTGATAATTAAATAAAGTCCAGATAAAGCATTTATCACATTGTTTAACACATAGTTCATGCTCACATATCACTGTTCACTGCATTTTTTAATTTGGAATTCATTTGCTGACATGCATAATTTTTCCAAGGGCAAATTGATTAGCCTGCCCACTCAAATTGTAAACTCCAAAAGGCAAAAATGCATTTAATATAACTTTTGATCACTGTAAAGACATTAAAATTTTTGCTGACTTATTATAAATATCAACCAGTGATTCTCAGAAATTTTTAGGCCACAGGCTATTTCTGCAAAACAAAAAAATCCATAAATAGTAAATTTATAATTTGTTTATTTCTGCAAAGAAATCACCACAATTAAATATATTCCAAGAAAATAATCAAAAGAAGAAAAAAATATATACATATACATATTCTATTTAGAGGAACATTACACAACAGTTAAAAATGGAAAAGCATACAATTATAGGGGAATAAATTAAGTATGGCATAAAATTATTGGAACGTCTGCAGTCATTATGGCACCTGGCTGGCTCAGTCGGTAGAGCATATGACTCTTGATCTCAGGGTCATGAGTTCAAGCCGCACACTGGGTACAGAGATTACCTTAAAATTAAATAAATACGGGGCGTCTGGGTGGCTCAGTCAGTTAAGCGTCTGCCTTTGGCTCAGGTCATGATCCCAGGGTGCTAGGATCGGGTCTCCAGTCAGGCTCCCTGCTGAGCCTGCTTTTCCCTCTCCCTCTGCTGCTCCCCCTACTTGTGCTCACTCTCTCTCTGTCAAATAAATAAATAAAATCTTTAAATAAATAAATAAGTACATTGGAGAACATTTGCAGTCATTAAAACTAATGACTATTATGGAGGGGCGCCTGGGTGACTTAGTCCGTTAAGCGTCTGACTTCAGCTTGGGTCATGATCTTGGGGTCTTGGGATCAAGCCCCATGTCAGGCTCCCTGCTCAGCGGGGAGTCTGCTTGTCTCCCTCTCCCTCGGTCCCCCCCCTTTGCCCTCCCCCACTGCTCCATCTCTTTCAAATAAATAAAATCTTTAAAAAAAAAGATATGGAAAAGTATTTACAAAATAAGTGAAAAAATAAAAATATAAAACCACATATATAATTACAGCTGTATAAAAATGAAGTATGATATATTCATTTATACAAAGTTTATCCTCTATACTTCTGTAGTTTTGAACTTTTACAAGCATGTACATGTGTTCATCAGGTAATTAAAAATGAATAGATGTACATAAATATTAGATGAGTACAAAGAAAGGAAAAATGTATTAAAGATTATGAATTAATTTTTAGTACAACCATCTTTGGTAAAATGTCAAAGTTAATTTAATAATTATATCTTATAAATAAAATTAATAGAAATATTTAGAAGAGGGGTGCCTGGGTGGCTCAGTCGGTTAAACGTCTGCCTTCAGCTCAGGTCATGATCCCAGGGGCCTAGGATCGAGTCCTGCATTGGGCTCCCTGCCCCCCCCACCCATTCTCTCTCTCTTGCTCTCTCTCAAATAAATAAATAAAATCTTTTTAAAAAATTAAAGAAATATTTAGAAGAATAGCAATGCTTTGACACACTAATGTAGGATATCATGTTTATTAAGTCATTTAACAAGTATTTAGTGTTTCTACCATGTGTGAGGCTCTGGGCTGTGCTCTGTGCTAGGAGCACAGTAATGAACACCGATATGTTATAGACAAAGCAGCTCGTATTTAGGCACCCATCCTATCACCAGAATCCTCCAAATCATCCTCTATGTACCCAAACCTTTCAAAAACCTTCCACAAAAGGTAGCATCTCATAATCTAAATCTTTACCTCCCCTAGCCAAAACGAGCGGACCCTGTGACTGTGTCGCATCCCTCTGGTAGTCTGCTCTTCCTACAGGCCTGTGTTAACAGATGACCCCCAGGCAACACCATGCCTTAACCCAGCAAAAATGCAAATATCCCAGAGGTTCCTAGGAAAAAATACCATGGTTTTAGCCCAAGGGGCCTTCCTGATGGCTCCTGGTTTTAGTGGGTCTGCTTTGATCTGATCTAAACATGTTGTGTACCATTTTCAACAGAGATCTCCCTCTGGACAAGGGGGAGGACACTACAGGCCAAGTAGACTGGATGCACAAAAGTACATGATGTGACACAAAGCAAGGTGGCTGGGGTGGAGGGTGTGTGGGGGAGGATGACAGGAAATGGGCTAGAGGTAGGGAAGAGTAGAGGTAGGAAGTGGAACTTTCTGCTGGAGGCACTGGGGAGCCCTAGGGAGTTTTAAGTGGAGAAGCACATCTGATTTGTGTTCAGGGAAGCTCACATTAGCAGAATGAGAACAGATGGGAAGAGGGTTCTAACTAGAGACAGAGGGGCTCAAATTAAAATAATCCAGCAGAGGGGCACCTGCGTGGCTCAGTCAGTTGGGCGTCTGCCTTAGGCTCGGGTCATAATCCTGGTGTCCTGGGATCAAGGCCCGAGTTGTGTTCCCTGCTTGGTGGGGAGCCTACTTCTTCCTCTCCTGCTCCCCCTGCTTCTGCTCTCTCTCTCTAAAAAAGAAAATAATAATAATAATAATAAAATAAAATAATCTGGCAGAGAAGTGATTAGAGTCTGAACCAGAGTAGATGCAGAGGGAAGAGGAGGGGGCCGGGGCTGGGATGATTTGAGAAGGCAGAATCCAATGTCACAACCTGGTGACTAATTGTGCAGAAGGTGGTGAAGAAAAGATCCTGTGGTAACTCCAAGACACTGTGTCCTGACCAAAGGCAGAAGGCTTTCTC